AGGTGCTTCGTGATATCTGATCTGCCACCGTGAGCAATAGGAAATTCGGATTTGCATTTGCCACTTCGTACATGCGAATCCTAGTCGCGTGTTGCCTTCTTAGTGAATGGAAAGTCGCTCTCCAATTGAGCACTCATCTACGTTCGTTTAGACATGATTTTCCCACCAACCTATACTTAATGCTGGCGTTCTCTAGAAAAAAACAAACTTTCCTCATCGCGTTTCTTCCCTCTTTTTATATTGTCGTAAAATATCCCCTTGTCGCGTTGCCCACCCACGCAGTCGACTATCCCGCCCAAGCCATGCCACCCCGCTTATTTTGGACTTATGGTGTGCACGCACCGCCACTGATTGGTTCTTGTATTTTTTTTACCTACGTTCTACGTGCTCAAAGCGGGACATTCTGAGTTCTCCGGCCTCCAAGCAGAACATTAGTACATCCTGCCCAACATTTCTAAAAAATCGCGACGATAGCTTGAAATGCGGGACTGTCCTGCCTAAATCGGGACGTATGGCCACCTTACTCATGCACTAGCCCGGAGCCTATGTTATTTCGCATAGTCAAGGTGGGCAGTAAACGATCCCTTAGGGCAACCACCGAAAACCCTACCTAGCCCACGCCTCACAAGTCTACTCGGATGCCCTTACTGCTCGTGCCTTCGTGTTGTTACGCAGAAGACATCGAGTTTAGGTGGAATAGGTGTTATACCATAATGCCTTGCGGTCAGGTTTCTGCTTGCTGCACGATCATTCGTCGCCACATCGGACAGTGGACTCCTGAAAGGTCGAGAACCTGTTGGGGTCAAGACTGGAATTTCTCTCTGACTTCATGCGTCCGAAGCCATCGTTAGAATTCTGTCTCCGTCCAATAGATAATTGCATGTTAAATGTCATATTATATTTTCGTAAGTCGTTCAACTTCATCCGGGACTTATGTTTTTCAATATTCAAAGTCTAATCCCAAGTAGAGTTAATGCATGCAGTGATCACTGGCAACTGTGTCGTGTTACCGCTGCGAGGCACTACTCACCTACACTCTTCAAGATAGTTGTTCTACCTGGTGTCCTTGCACGTGAGAGATTGTGTTATGATGCAATTTGTAGTGAAGTTGGATGGCTAGTATTTCCTTGATTGCGTCGTCACATCTTACAGCCCTGAGTTGACATCATCAGAATTCCATATGTTTGAACTCCCGATAGCAATTACTGGAGGTCAACATTTCACAGCAATAATGAAGTAATGGTGGTTTTCCTAAACCGGTTCAGATATTGTGACGAGCTCATTTATGCTGAAGCCTTCCAGTCGATTATTAGGATAGGTATTTGACTATAGCAGGAATTTGTAATTTTTTCTTGATAAACCCCTGATTGACTTGAACATATATATATATATATATATATATATATATATATATATGTGATTGGCGGCATCCTGTTCCGGATTTGCCTGTCACTGTGGCCAGCCACAGGACGCCTGCGCCTACAGAGGGACCATGGGTGGCTTACCCTGCATCACCCACAGTTCCATCCACACACACCCCATATCAAGTGTAGACCCGAAGGAATAAGACTGGGAAGCATGTGGATGGGATCCAGGTTTCATCAACGGAGCCAACCCACACTCCTTCACATGCAAACACAAGCACGCTGTATTTGGGGAATCAAGTGCACACAAGGCGGTGGCTGGACCGTAGTCCGCTCCACACTGAGTGCATGGAACCACTTTTCGAGCCTAACACGGCCACAAGGACCGTGCACCCCGTCCCCTCCAGCAACGACCGACTGTCTCCTAGAACCAGTATGGACGAGATAGTGCGTAATAGACAGGTAGGCACCCTGTCAACATGCAAATCAAGCGCAGCCACACCGGGATATCAATCGACAGCCAATCACCTGCGAGAAAGATAACAAAGTAAATAAGTCGACGAATGCAGAAGGAAACGGTGATGTAAATCTTAAATTGATGAGTGTATGACATAAGTCATTTACAAACGAATCCGAGATAAGTTCACGAGGTCAGAGAGTATATTTTACGAAAATGCCACAAGCAGCAGTCCACTGCATACATCCCACTTCGGCGAAACACTTTCATGTCACCAACTCTGTTGCCCCATCCCATGCGCAGAATCCGTCGCAAGCACTGTCGATGGAACCGTTAGAGATATCGCACATCCCGCCGGTACATCGTCCAGGTTTCGCTACCGTATAGAAGAACCGACCACCATGGATTTGTATACCATCAACTTCGTGCCAATGGTAAGCTGATAGTTGTTCCATACTCGGTACTCTAGCTTCGCGAATGCTACCGCAGCTTTCGAGACGCGGATGCGCAGGTCACTGTGTATCTGCTGGTCAGTCGACATCACATTCCCAAGGTAGCAGAAGCGGGAGATGGTTTCCAGTACTTCAGCACCAATGCTGATTCGCGGCAATATTGAAGATTGCACCTCCGGTGAAGGTTGAAAGAGACAGACAGTTTTGCTCGAATTGCACCGCTGTCGAAAGCGGAGCACTAGTCAAGTGCTGCAACTCATCCGCGCTGTGTGCGGACAACGCACAGTCGTCAGCAAACAGCAACATACGGATATTTGTCTCACAGACTAGAGTTCTCGCACCGAAACGACGGATGTTCAGCAACCCACCATCACTACGGTGCTCCACACGAACACAGTAAACATAAGCGGCATCAAAAGCACAAGACATCGTGGCATGAAGATATATAACAAACAAAGCAATAGCTAAGACACAGCACTGCTTCACACAAGAGAGAAATGCAAAGTCATCAGAGGTCTCTCCACTCAACTGCACTCTCGCCCCCATACCACTGTGCGGACATTTAAGTAAACTTCCAAACTTACGCGGACAACCAAACTTACCCAACAACAGTCACAATGCCTCTCGGTTCAGCGTATCTAATATCTTGGTGGAATCAACAAACAGCGAGTACAAAGGCTGGTGTCGTTCTCTGCATTTCTCCTGCAACTGACTAGCCGCAAACACCATATCTATAGTGCTGCGACCCGAACGGAATCCACACTGCTCTTCCGCAACTTTCGGTTCCACAACCTGACTGACGAGGCAGTTGAGCAGGATTCGAACAATCAGCCTGCCCACACAACTCAGCAAGTTGATGCCACGATAATTCGTGCAACATTGCTTACTCAGTTTGTCCTTGTACCGTGGTAGCACAAGCGCATCCTTCAGCTCAGGAGGCACCTCCTCCTCAATCCATACGCGTTGCACCGAGTGATGCTGCGCAGTCAGCAATGCGGGTCCGCCCTGTCTCAATATTTTATGCGGGATTCCGTCGACCCTGTCACACTTGCCGTTTCGCAGCTGTGCAAGTGCTCCCTGCGTGTCATCCAGTGGCGGCATGTCCTCTAGACCCGTTTTCACCTCGCGCTGCTTGAGGCCGTTTAAAGTAGGCCAGCTGATCTCTGAACGGTTGTTCAAGATACAGTTTAAGTGCGTTAGCCAGATCTGCAGTCTGTGTGCAGACAGCGCCTGAAGTGGCATCGATCAGCGTCCTCAGCGGCTCCAACATCGGTCCATACACGCCTTCAAGGAGTCAAAAAATTCCTTGTGTTAGTAGCGTTCGGCGTATCATTCCGTCTGCTTCGCCTTCTCCGTCCACCATGCATTTTTAATGCGACGGAACTCTCGGGTCGGTCATCGTTGAATTCGCCCAAAATTTTTCCCCCTGAGTCACTGGGATCTGCCACATGCGCAGCGAATGCTGCATTCTTCTCCGACACCAATGCGCCAATCGTCGCATTGTTCTCGTCAAACCAATCAGGCCTCTTACAGATTGCGCGCCCGATGGTCTCCTTGACAGCAGCTGTCACCTGGTCGCGAATGTGGTGTCACAGGTCACCCACTGTGGCTATGCAGTCCACATTACTCAGGCGTGCAGTCATCGCCTTCTCCAGCTCAATACGTTACTCCACAATACCGAGGGATATAATGTTAAATTTACGCCTGCGATTCACGGCGGGAGTGCAATACATAGATTTACGAAAATATATATACAGTTTGGTCCGCACCCATATATATATATATATATATATATATATATATATATATATATATATATATAGTTTTGACGAGGTGAGACAGCCCGCTGAAGGGTGACTAACCCTAATAGAGCTTATGAGCGTAGTAACAGCGTGAGAAAAGTAGGCAATGCCACATTTTTCAAACATAGTGGCCGAAAATTTCATATCCATTGACCAAGGCGACGGTACGCGCAAGCCACGCGATGATATGTATTAAGGGCGGTTTCATGACTGTTTTCTACGAGCTTTTAACGGTTATCTTCCATAAATCTATCGTGGGTTTTAAAACGACTTCATTGTTCACAGGAGCTTATGTTCCAACACAGAAACGTTTTTAGCTTACTAACTTTCCGCTTTCGAACTTGCATCAATATTAACACGCGCTGGTTGGTTTTTCACTATCGATTTCGAGAGGACAACTCTCGTTCCATTCAAAAATGCTTAGTGGTACATCAAAAGTGCGAACGAGGTGAAAACAATATTGAATTGCAAATATATCGAAGTACCGAGCAACGGTGAAACTACCCGATTGAGCTGCTTAATCGACGTCTTTAAATACGCCCACTCCACGCTTGGTGCGATTATCCTTCCCGTTCGTTATTAGTAGTACACCCATCCTCTACTTGTTCTGATGATGCTTTTTTGTCAAAATGGTTCCTTGTCCATTAACTATGCTAACCGCATCTCGGTGACTTTGTGGTCAAGATGTCATCCGTCAACTGCTACACCTCCGGTTGCACTGCTAGCTTGTGCCATATGTTTCTTATGGGCTCAGGTAATGGAAGAGACCCCCTCGTGAATTGCGGTATTGCGAATAATCAACATTTCATACCCTCCACTAGCCGGTTGCTCTCGAGCTTTTCCGTGATCTAGTCACTTCGTTGTTTTTGCATTCAAATGTCCATGCGTCGCAGATTACGTTCCCATTTTCTCTCTCCTATTTCAGTGCCTTCCCCAATTTTTTCGGACACTTTCCTCGTGGTGGTTTCAGCTGTTTGTCACCCTACTTCTCTGGATTGTCGCCATACGTCTCGAATTCGGAGCTGTCTGGTTTGTCTTCGCCTGTCTCTATTGGTTGTGCGTAAAGGGCACCGATAAACACCGTCGCCCACGCAACCCGGACGAGCAAGTCATCTCTGCCGGTTTCTTTTTCGACTCATCCCCCACCCCCTTAGCCGGCATGTCTACCAATTAGCTACCTCGTAGGCGTGAAAGCATCCAACAACAAAGTTTTTTCATCGTCAGTACACATTGGTTACGCCCTTGGGAAAACTGAACCATCTTTTGTCAACTTTCGTTTCACTCTCGTTGTTCCCTGTCCTTTCCCTCATCGTTGGGCCTCACGCAGCCTAACCTTTTCTCTCGTATGCTTCCCTAATACTTCTTGTCTGTGATCCTATTGTATTGCAATCGCGCACACCATTGTTCAAGGCCTCTTTTGGGCACTTGATACTCTTCACTGTGGTGCTCTTCCGTTGTGCGTCCTAATCGATTGTGCTAAATGAACCTTGGAGCGTCGGGCTTCAGCTGGCCTACCTTGTCTTTCTTTTCATCATAAACATTCAGTTTGATGATGCAGCTGATCACTTGAAGTTGTTTGGAGTGTTCCGATTACGTTCTCAGTTTATGTATCCCCTTATTGAATATCAACTTTTTCAATCCATCTGGCTGTGATTTTTTGGCTGTGGAAAGCCTATTTATGGCTTCCTGACTGTCTCTTGAAGGTGCTTGTTAGTTTTTCTCATCTCAGTCGATGAAGCTGTAAGAAATTTGCAGTTTAAGGCTGCTCGGCTGATTGCACTGCAGCTGTTTCCCCCGAGACGGCATGGAATCCATTGTTTCACTTTTTTGAAAACAATTGTCGTCTTTTGGAACTCCTTCATGATGCTGGTGTGCAATCACGAGCATTCGATACTATCTGTTTCAGATGCTTCTCTTCCCCCATAGAATTTTCTGCTCAGCTTACTCTATCTATCTTGAAAGCACAATCATTTTTGGTAACTTACATGCATTCATAGTCCGATTTCACGTGCTCTGGCGCAATCAGTCACTAACCATAGGCTTACCAACTATACTGAACCTGTGGAACATGGGGTTCGGATTTGTTCCACATGCGGTCATGCGTTAGTTGCACCGTCTGCGTACCCAGTACCGGAAGTCTCGCCTAATGGAGTAAATTCTCAGCATTCCCGATGGACTATATGGCGGAGGACTGACACTTTCGGCCGCTAAGCTGTACCGCGTCTATTGTCCTCTTCAGGTGGTGATCTCAAGCTCACTTATATTAGTAAATTGAGATCTTACTTGGATTGTTGTTCCTGATTACTAGTCCTTCTTCCAACTGATCCAATTTTTAATCCTTTGTACCTGTGGTGTGCTAGTGTTGCGAGGAGCTACACCCAAATATTTTCACTCTGTGCCTTACTATTTTATACACTTTTGTTTCGTTTTACCGTTGTTGCTTTATTTGCGGTTTGAGATTCGGCTTATGGAGTCAGTTATTAAACTGGACTACTACTACGCTTAACGACTCGCTGAACAAGTGCCATCTGTGTCCCCATTGCAGCTGTATATTCTGAAACACTTGCAAATTATTCTCCCCAGACTACTGACCAACTTTATCGATACATAGTGTGGCATCCGGCCCCTCAGTGTGTATCCAAGTTCACTCATAAAATAGTGGTATGGATTTTTGTGCATCAGCATAGTTTCACTCAACAGGCACTCTGCTGATCTAGTTAAGCGGTAAGCATTTCGTAAATCGCTGGCTCTGTCCAATTGTTGGAGCGCTGCGAATGGCCTGTTGCCATAACTTCACTCAGCCGCCTGTCCTTCTTCGATGAATAAATGCGCATTCGAGTGCGTATCGATTTGCTGTCAAACCCGCCCTAATAGTTCCCTCTAGTTATACTCGGCATGTGGCTTTCACCGGAACCGCTGAATTGACCAAGCTGACAAGGGTCATCTTGTTTACTCGTTTCGGTACCGACTAGCCGAGTTTGTTTAGCTGAGCCGGACACGCCTTGCCAGAGTGATACTCACCTACAAATGTAGGTTCATGTATTCCGGGCAGTACGGTTGCTCCGATTCGTCAGGTGATAGGAGTTCATCCTTCGCCGTTGACATATTATCTTTGGAACTCAGTCCTTACTTTCTCCTTCATGTCTTTTGTACCTTTTTTAAGTTTTTTGTGCTTGACTTTATATTGTGATGCATTTTGAACTCATCGCAGCTGGGCTCATTCAGATGGCCTTCATGAGTTCGATAGCGCAGTGGACAGCACTTCGTTTTTTACGGATACCACAGCAGCAGCACGCAGTTCCTTTGCCTCGTGCGGTACTAGAGCCCGCGACCTTACTTTACACGTGTTTAATCCCCCCCATTCCGAGCACATACCCACCACCACCATCCGTCTTATCAGATCAACTCGGCTGCACCCATCCAATGTGTAAAGTTTGCTAGATACGATACGATTGATGAATTCTGTCTGTAAGTTGTAGTGAATGATTTTAAGCTACTACACTGGCCACGTTCGCTGAGGTAAGAGTGACATTTTACGGTGTGTCTTCTGCATCAGTCTAGGCATCATTCTGCCTCGTATCTGTTTCTGAGTGACATACACGGGGCTTAGAGATGATCAGATGCTTCCGCCTGATGCAAAATTTAAAACAGTCAGTTCCTCTTAGTCATTTGAAACGCACAATTAGAAGACGAAGTTCGGCAGATGCATGAATTTCGTATCGTCTCGTCAATGCTGATAACGATAACCGGTAATTTTATTCAACCGTTTGGGGGTACAGACATACATACCAACAAACGAGAGAAAAAGCGGGTGCCTTTCTTCTACAACCAGAGCAGCCTGAGGCTGACGCATAATCGTTTTTGTACACAAAGCACTGACTTCATCCGATTAATGGCAATAGCCTCGCAAACCGGAGGAGCCGGGAATTGGTAAGGCGAAGCAATATTATTGCTTACTCGGTTTTCTGCTTATGTACTTACAGATAGCCATTTCTGAAAGTTTCATTTACCATCATTAATTTCACTGACTTGAAACTACAGGTGGATGACGAGAGGCCTTCGATCTGTACTTTTCACATAGGGCAACGTGAACTGATGGTATGAAATCCCGTTTTGGTTGTCCTCATGATCACCATGCGCATCTCCGAGCTAGGATTTTGTGCCGTTCCGTCAGCTATATATTCTCCATGCGTTTCTGTGGATATACCTCCTTCTCGATGGATCATACGGTACCTTTGTATCGGTAGTATTGGAAACATGACCACTCGACTACCGATTTGTACATTTTTTGCATCAACTGTTCGCTCGCGATTGTGAAAGCACCCCAGCCATGGTGCACGTTCCGTGTGCGAGTACTTTTTGCCCCCCAAAAACAGCTTCACTTTTTTCAACCCACTTCAGTTCGGTTTTTGCGTGACACAAATACACGGCTTCGCCCATTATGTACTGTGATTTTAGCTCATGTATACTACCCATTTATTGTTAATCTCAAAGAGAAACGCATGCGATGAGTTTAGAGCAATTGTTGCTGATTTATTCGTCATCAGGTTCAGTACATAAATAAACGGTAAAAAAAGCTGACAAATCACTTGTGGGTACAAAGGGTAACAACTGATCAAACACATTCGGATCGAGTTTAGTGATATTCTTCTGGTGATCAAGTGATGTCTGGCAGGTGGGATTGCTGGGTTAGGTCCGACTCTTCGCGCTTGGATGATGATCATGGGGGCTGTAGTGCTTGTACGTATTTCTTTTGGATGTCTAGGTTCGCATTTGTTTATCCTACGCATGCCGCTTCTGCAGTAGCAAGTAGTCGCGCACTCAACCGATGTTACTGCTGCAAAGTTGCTTTGTACATGATCACGAAACCAGTCCTTTTGTTTACTTGATGGCCCGTGCTGCTCAGATAATTCGTGAGCGCACTTTGTTTCTTCTATCGTGTTTGTTCATGACCCCGATTGGTAGATTAACATTGCTCCGTTTGCACCAATGGCTGTTCGTGTGTCCAACGTACTTAGACCCACAGGGACAGGGGAACCGGTAAATTCCCATAGATTGGAAATGGCTGGGCACTTTGTCCTTGAATCTAGGAACAAATATTGGCTTCCACGTGAAAACAACTTATTACTGGGCGGCGTTGAATGTTTTATCACAAATTCGCACCAGTCATTGCGCACACACTTCTGACGCGTTATTGCCTCTGAATGGAAGAGCGAGGAACAGATGTTTCTTCTCGACGGTCTGCCTTTCGACTTTCGGACTGCTTGGTTTCATATGAAGTTAAATGATGCGCTCCTGGTAACTGTTTCTCAGAAGTATCACTTTGGTTCGCTTCAATTCTGCTGCGATGGTGTCCTCGCTGCAGTTTCGATATGCAGGGTTGGTTAAAGTGCGAACCAGCGTTCTTTTACGGCTGAGTGATACAAAACTTTGGAAAGGTATGGATTCACTTATCAAGTACGGTTTTCTGTACAGTCCTATCTGGACAAATCTATCTTGTCTTCTTGTAATGTTTGCATCCAGGGAACTCAGTTACTTGTCACTTTCCTCTTCGATGGTGAATGCTGCATTTGGATGTGATCGGGTGAAATATTGGACGATATGTTGTATGTTGGTCGCTCGGTCAACCATACAGAAAACATCATCTACCTAACGAAGTTGAATTCTGAAATGACCAGCTTTAGTGGACCATCTTCGAGCATTCCCATGTACACATCAGCCAACAGTGGTCCTAAAGGAGATCCCATCGCCACTCCATCCACTTGTCTGTACAACTCGTTGTTGAATTGAAACTGGATGTTGTAGATACATCTGAGCAAGAGCTGTTTCAGTTGGACAGTTGGTATCCTAAAGTTTATCCCGTGTTGGTCAATGTAAGTGCACAGGAAAGTAGCCGTCTCTAGCAAGGGTACGTTTATGAACAGTGAGACAACATCCAAAGAGAAAATCTGATGGTCTAGGATATTCATGCTTAGTATGCTTTCCACAAACTGGAAGGTGTCGGTTAGTTGAAGCGGGGCTATCAGCTCAAGCAGCTCTTGCTCAGATGCACATACAACGTCCAGTTTCAGTTTAACAATGAATTATACAGGCAAATAGATGGAGTAGCAATGGGATCACCTCTCGGGCCACTATTGACAGATATCTACATGGGATGCTGGAAAATGGACCGCTGAAACCGGTCATTTCAACTTTTATTTTCTATCCACGGTACGTAGATGACATTTTCTGCATAGTGGATCGGGCGACCAACTTGATGAACGTCGTCGAACCTTTCAACAGTGCACATCTCAATGCCTCATTTACAGCTGGAGAAGAAAGCAACAACCGCCTGAAATTTTTGGATCTAAATGTAAGAGGAGAGCCGACGTATCAATCCAGTTAGGATAGTACGGAAAGCCATATAGGACAGGGCAGTATATACATCTCCAAATCTTTGTGCCCCTCGGCCCGCAAAAAACACTGATTCGTACGTTGACCGATCGTGCGCACAAGATCTGTAACGAAGACACGATTGCAGATGAAGTGGAACGAATCAAGTATGCGCTACTTGAGATTGGTTATCCAGAACGTTTTGTGGACTCGCATATGAGGCCTAAAGACCCGAAGCCAACAGTGTAAACGGCTGAGGAAAAACAGTTGTTCCTTAAGATACCCCTTAAGAGTGACAAAGCGGTTGTGATCTGTACAAGAAG